CTGCCTGCCTGCCTGCCTGCCTGCCTGCCTGCCTGCCTGCCTGCCTGCCTGCCTGCCTGGCTGGCTGGCTGGCTGGCTGTGTGTGTGTGTGTGTGTGTGTGTGTGTGGGTGTGTGTGTGGGTGTGGGTGTGTGTGTGGGTGGGTGTGTGTGTGTGTGTGTGTGTGTGTTTGTGTGTGTTTGTTTTCGCATCGTGACGGGAACTGCAAACTGTAAGGATAGCTCTATGTCTTGCTCTGACTATAACTACCCAGCTTTGCTGGTAATGCAGATGTCACAGTCGACGTGTAGACTTTCTTTCTATGGTTCTCGCAGCATTCGGATTCAGACCACCATCAGCCATCATCACCATCATCATCATCATCCCCGCCGCTATCGCATCCCACTCCATGGTCATGATCTCTGTCATCAGCATCCAGAAGCTTCGAGTGGACGATACTACAACACCAGGCTGCATGTAGCCGAGGGGCTGTGCACCAGGCCTCACCGAACAGAGGCAAATAACAAGAACATGCCTCTAGCATGGCCATGACCCTACAGAGAGCAATGCAGAGGTTTGACCACGCACACACCCACACGTACACACTTGGAATGTCCCTCAATATGACCGAATGTCACACCATGGGTTAGCAAGCTAGCATCATCTCTTCAATTCGCATCCCCCGGCTATCCTCGCTGGGACCCAGGGCGGATGCGGGCAGCAGGGGAGCTTCGTTGGACAGAGCCCCTCCGCACTCGCTCCGTCCCCCTGCCCTTTTGTTATGCATGCCTTGGTCTCCGGGTGGTACACACACACGCCCACACGCACACACAAACACCCTTCGGACCCGATCCAACACGTGCGTGCTACTGACAAGCTGAACCCGAAAATTGAAACCCTCCGGCAAGCCCCTTACTACCAGTACACGCTCGCCTTCAAAGCAAAAAACACCCTGCACATTCAAGAAACAGGACCAATTCGAATGAGAAGGTCATCACCACATCGATGAAAACACTACCAACACGTGTTGGATCTAACTCGCGCCGTTGGGGGTCCAGGGTACCCTAAGTTCCATGAGTAGTTTAAGTAGCAGCTTAGAAGACAGGTTCTCATTCTGACGAGAAGCTGAGACTGGACCCTGACTTTCAACAACCGCCGGGCGCACCTTTGACTTCCAGCAGCGTGTCCGGGGCACTGGTCTCTGGCGGCAGCTGCCCCCTACCTGCAGTCTGAAAGGTTCGCTTGAGGTGCTGCGCGTGGCTTGGGGGTGCTGCGATGCAGACTCAAGGAGTCAGCGTTAAGGTTTAGGGATCCCTATCCCGAAAAGTTCGCTCGGCCTGTCTCGCTCAGAACGGGGCACTGGCGCCTGCAAGCCATGGAGAGACATGGCAAAGATCTGTATCACAGCATTAGGAAGTGTGCTGCGAGATATGACGATCTTACCAACCTGAGAAATCTTATACACAAAGACATTTGCACTTATGCACACTCCACATCGTGCAATGATAGATACATAATTTAGAATTCATCTGTCAACCAAAACGAACTATTTCTTATCTGTCCATGTGTCTGCGTTTGTACCTGGAGCTGCATGCAGGCATGTATGTGCGTATGTACGTATGTATGTATGTATGTATGTATGTATGTATGTATGTATGTGTGTATGTATGTATCTATGTATGTATGCCGGCATGTATGCATGTATGTCAAGAGCCCACCGTGGCATGTTTCTGTTGCCGGCAAGTGCGACAGAGCGTAGCATATTGATACCCGACAGGCTTATCTGCATGCCGCTCTGGATTTGGTTTCGCACGTACAGAGGTACCACACGGCGGGTTGCAAGTGTGCGCTTACCCTGATGGCATTCAACGACATAGGGCCTAGTTTGGCATGCATACATACTCACCCACATATGTGCATTCATTCATTCATTCATTCGTTCGTTCGTTCATTCCTTCACTCGTTGGTTCATACCTACGTAAGTACTTACATAGCCGCATACGCACAGACGTACATGCATACAGGAATGCTTACTTACACACACGAGAAAACCTCTTTTCGATGCGAGCATGCACGTACATTTGTCCATGTGCGCTGTGCCCACTCTGTGCAGCTTGTCCTACGACACTTGCAGTACTATTCCAAAGTTGTGCTTGCAATATGGATTTTGCATGTGCCCCGTAGTTTTGGGTAGTAAGGTGCGTAAGGCGAAGATGCTTGATACTACAGCTGCGAAGGCACGAACATGCTCTGCATAGCACTCGGCTCACATGTCTGTGTAGGGAAGTGAAACCTCTCTGCTTGATCGCCGATTTGTTCGAGCATGGACTGGTGTACCAACTATGTCTTCTTCTGCACGGCCAAAAGATAGTGATAGGGCCAGCAGCGCCTGAATGGCTTCAATGGTTAGGCTGACCACTCTGTCATATTGAGGTTTAGCATCGGCAAGACGGTTTCATCTACGGGAGATCTCGAACGATTGCTGCTCTACCACCATGTTATAGTTCTAATCAGCTGATTCGCACCCATGCCCCCAATCATGCTGTGACAGCATGCTATGACTGCATGAAACCCTACACCCTAAACCCTTTTTCACAAGGGACAAACCCCTAAACCCTAACTCTTTCTTAGGCCATGTCCACTTCTGGTTCGTCTTTTGCATCACTTTCGGCTCTGGCAGCGGCAGCTGCACCACGATATTGCGGGACTTGGACTATGAATATGGCATCAATGTCATACCCATAATGGAAGTTGTGCACAATCCGGAAGAGTTTACACAGTTTACACCACATCCCTCTTGCAATTATTATGTCGACGACCATAGCACGGAACATACTCGAAATCCCTTCAGGGCCTGTCCAGGATCGCGATGAGAAGGACTCCTCCGGGCTTTCGAACTTCGATCACATGTGCCACGCATAGCTAACTACAGAGGGGCTTTAGGCTGATGTTGCTGCTATTAGTCAGACGTCCGTATTAATGAAGCAAATAGCACTTTGCAGCCTCGCGTCCGAGGCTTGGGGCGGAGGCGGCTGCATGTTCCTCCCAACTGCCGAACCCGAGACCCCCCCCCCGGCTCCGATTGCGATCTGCACCAAGGTCATGCCAAGGAAGCTCAGGAAGGCCTCCGCCGGAGTCATGTCGACCTCCTGAGCTTACGACCCATACGGTCGCTGCGCAACACCATACCATACCCCCACAATGGTAGCTCACCCTCGGCCTTCAACTTGGGTGCGAGATCCCTTCCCCAGAGATTTCTGAGATTCTAACAAGCCAACCAGTAAGCAGGAAACCATATTAACGACCGTTGATGGCCCAGTTGCAGGTCCATTCTGGGACCCAAACAGCATCGTCAAGGGTCCCGCCCACCTGTGCCAGGCATGAAGTCGGCGGCAAACGAACCCTGTAAGCAAAGCTACAAAGGCCGATAAAACCAGGGGCACCCGTAGTTGCGGGGGGGGGGGGGGGGCAAGTTAGAGCAGATGTGGTCACGATTCTGATGCTTCGCATCGAAGAGGCAGCCCTGTCTTTAAAGTTTGCGTCCGAAGGGGTTTAGGGATGTTGAGGGTTTCAATTTAGGGTTGAGGATTTTAGGGTGTAAGGTTCTGTTGCTTGAGAGCGAGGATCTTCCATGAGGAAGAAGGCATGACCCCAAGCCCGAGAAGCTCTTTTTTCGGGTTCCGGCGGCCGTCTGGTCCGTTGAGGGGGCCACTCACTTCTGAGTGCGACACCGGGTTCGGGGTAGAGGGTCTGCAGCTTTGACGGGGCTTAGTGTTTCTGGCCTGGGCTGTACCTTTAAGCGCGACAGCGGAGAGTCACATCTGCTGTCAGTCATCATCCTCGCTCGTCTCGGACTTGCTGCGGCGTTTGCTCTCCTTCACTTCGTCGTCGACTCCCTGCGGGCCGTCTTCCAAAAAATTCCGAAACCGGAACGGCTACAAGGCTCGGGGTGTAAGATTTGCAGGCTTCCACTTAGGCTTTGTGGGTATATACGATGTCCAAAGGAAGCGCACTCTCTCGCCTACCAAGCAAACAAGGCTTTCCCCAACAAGAAGGGCCTTCATCCACCTCGGTTGCGATGCATCCTCGCCGGTCGAAGAGGATCTCGAGGAAGATGGCATGAAGACGATGGCAGCGCCGATAAGCAAAACCTCCGACGTGCGCGCTGTCTGCACACTAGCATCCGAGCTCTTAGTGCAATCTTTCGAGATATGTTTGAACAAACACGCCCAGCCCCAGGCTATAAGCTATAAGTTGCTTGAGCATCATGAACTTCGGTCTTCCTATGCCGAGATCATCTGATTATCTGACGAGCGGCGGGAGGGATGATGAAGATCCAGGGTTCTATGCGACAGAAGCCCATTTTTTGAACGATGTCCTCAGCTGAACGAACTTGATTGCGCTCAAAGGAAGGGCTCTGCATGGCGGGTGTGGCGTCGAAATAGAAATGTCGTTCGCAGGCACGGCTTCATCGCACACCGCTAGATCTGAGGTGTCTGAGCCGCAGGCTGTAGTGACTCCGCCAGGCAAGCCAAACATACCTGTCCTTGGCACAACAAATCTTCCAGATATCCCCATGCGGGGGTTCACTGACGACCTGCATGCAAGTGATGCTGCATTGCAGCATGCTGAGCTGGAATAGCCGCGACTGGCCGTTCAGCTAAGCATCCTCTGGCATCCGAAGAACCTCACCAGCGAAGCTCCGTCACACCAGAGATGTGCACCAACAGCACAAATCATGAAGACTGCAGGAAACAGATCGAAAACTTCGGACATGCGGCACCCTCCAGGGACACCGGCACATGTGCCCGTGATCCAAGGCGCAACCAACACCGTATAGCCTCGAGAGACAGGCATCTCCGACTCGCTTCTCCCTGGGAGCCCTCTGTTCGTTATGGGGGTTTCCGAAAATAGGGGACCCTAATGTAGCACCCTGAATAGTAGGATCCTTGGTATAAGGACCCCAAAATAAGGTCCCCCTGAATTTCGGAAACCCATTATGGCTACAAAGACGCAGAGAGGTTTGGTACACCTTACTTAGCAAGCCAACAGAGAGCGTCAAGCCGTTTCACACATGCACTGCTCTGTGGAGCGGAGGATGCGATCCTACGAAATCCGAAACCAAGATCCTTTAATCCTTCAATCTCTTAGCGTCGCCCACCCAAAGCAGGCGAACCGCCTATTCTTGGAATTCTCGGCTTCCAAACCCTGGGAGAGCTGATGCGCCAAGCTCAAGCGTCATGCCCTGAACGAAAATTTCAAGCCGCCGAAGCCTGATCCCCTAAACTGAACCTGAACCCAAATCCTAAACATCCTAAACCCTCAACCCGAAACCTTGAGCTCTCAACTTTCTCAAACCCTAAACCCTAAGTTCGAAACTTCAGAAACCAAACCCGAAAGAAACTCCAGAGCCCTAAGGCAGGCACCAGTCCGGTTTCAGCTCGATGGGGCCTGGCTTTCGGGCTCGGGGTTCAGTGGTTCTTCACTTTGAGGTTAGGGTTTAGGGTTTAGGGTTTAGGGTTTAGGGTTTCGGGTTCAGGGTTTAGGGTTTAGGGTTTAGGGGTTCAGTGGCTCTTCACTTTGAGAGTTCAGGGTTTAGGGCTCAAGGGTTCTTCCCTTTAAGGGGCTCAGGTTTTCGGTCTCAGGGTTCAGTGGTTCTTCACTTTGAGGTTTTTGTGGCCTCCCACCTAGCTGGGACGAAGCCCGCAATGCAGGGTACACTTTGAGGTTAGGGTTTAGGGTGGGTTTGGGGGGCTCAGGGTTTAGGGTTCAAGGGTTCTTCCCTTTATAGGGCTCAGGGTTTAGGGCTCAGGGGAGTCGACCAGGGTTGCTTTCAAGCTTTGCCTAAGATTTTCCATGAGGCCTGGGGGCACCACGATGTGGTCGGCGCAGACCATTGCTTGAGCTTTCACCCGGGCCTGGACCTCAACGGCCTTCCTGAGCGGAGCATTCTGTGTACTAAGTTTTTTTTTGTTTTAGGGTTTGGGGTTTCGGGTTTTAGGGTTTGGGGCTTAGGGGGGCATTCTGTGTACTAAGGTTTAGGGCTTAGGGCTTGGGATTTCTTGCCTACATGCATGTTGCTCGGTGGTGCTTATGTTTTACGTATTTGCACTGATGTAAACTCGCTTCAAACATCTGTAAATGGGTGTGTGGGTGTGTCTTTTGTTCATGCGCACTGCACTACTTTGCAATGTCTCCAAGCTTGGCAGATCATTTGGAGGTAGATCACGGTGTAAAGGGACGCACCCCGTTCCGCGCCAAGGTTGAAGGCTGCCAAAGCGAGGGCGCAGGCTTTTGGGACTTGAAGCTGCGAGATTCACATCAGGATCGGCCCAGTTGAGGGTTTGGGGTGCGTCAGTACAAACAGGTTCCTGCTCAGTGAATGAATGTGCCAAAAGAAATGAAGCTCAGGCGCACAAGGGCTACTTCGGCAGCTGCCACGGCAAGGGCCCCACCAGGGACCTGCTCAGCAGCGGATTTCATGTGAGACGTCCTTAGTGTGGCAGAGATGAGACAAACACCTAGTCGTAGCAAAGCGGTAGGGCCGGTAGGGGTAGCAGTCGGAGAAGGGGTAGGAGCACGAGTAGCAGCAGCAGTGGGAGAGGGGTGGCAGTGGGAGTGGGAGTAAGTGGGAGGGAGTGGGAGTGGGAGTGGGGGTGCAGGTGCGAGTGGGAGTGGGTGTGGGAGTGGGGCAGAACTCGTCGTAGTCGTAGTGGCAGTCGTCGTCGTGGCAGCTAGTCGTAGTAGTCGCAGTAGCCGTAGCAATCGTAGGAGTCGTGGTCGTCGTAGTCGTACTACTGCTGCTGCTGCTGCTGCTGCTGCTGCTGCTACTACTACTACTACTACTACTACTAGTACTAGTACTGCTACTACTACTGCTACTGCTACGGCTACTGCTACTGCTACTGCTAACTGCTCCTGCTACTGCTACCACTACCACTACGACTGCTGCTATTACGCGTCGTTGTTCTACGGGTAGCGATAGGAGCAGGAGTGCGTGCACGTACGAGTAGAGCCTTTCGTCGCATGCGCAACGACAAGATGAGGAGAAAAAGCATGGCGGAGAAGGCCAGAAGAGGTCATCAGTTCGGTAAGAGCCGAATGCAGAAGTCTGTGTAAGTCCAGTCGGGGGCGGAGCACTTTTTCTTTTTCCTAACGT